AAAGTCTGAAAAATACCCAAGGCTATAGCCCATGGTTTTTCCAAAAAATGGCTCCGAAATCACCCCAAATTTTTATTACATTTTCTGATATGTATTAATGTACTTATGCTGTGTAGAAAGTTTGAGCTGATTCCGACTTCAATTTTTCAAGATACAGCCATTTTTAGAAAACGGCCAAAGTCTGAAAAATACCCATAGCCCATGGTTTTTTTCTGAAAATGGCTCTGAAATTACCCCAAATTTTTATTACGTTTTCTGATACATATTGATGCTCTTATGCTGAGTAGAAAGTTTGAGCTGATTCCGACTTCGATTTTTCAAGATACAGCCATTTTTAAAAAACGGCCAAAATCTGAAAAATACCCAAGGCTATAGCCCATGGTTTTTTCCAAAAAATGGCTCCAAAATCACCCCAAATTTTTATTAAATTTTTTGATACACATAGATGTCGTTATGCTGTACATGTAAAAAGTTTGAGGTGATTCTGACTTAAATTTTTCAAGATATGGTCATTTTTTTAAAATGACCAATTTTTGAAAAATTTTCAAGGCTATAATTCATGGTTTTTTTCAAAGAATGGCTCCGAAATCACCCCAAATTTTAATTGCATTTCCCGATACACTCTTGTTTTTTCCTCCCCATAGCTTAAAGCTCAAACTGGATTACAGGAGAAGGATAGGGAGCTATGTCAGTCTCAAAAGGCAGTTCGTAGGTACCAGCAACAAGCACTTACTGATGATCACTGGGTTATTAATGAAGATGAGGTGTGACTATGAACAATGTATATGAGGATTTATATTATTATTATTAATTGTTACTTCATCTCATTTTAATTCTCATTCTCTCTCCTTAAATTATTTACAACCTGTTAAATATTTCTCATTTAGTTTTAATAAGGTCACTCTATTGACTGTGTACATAAGATTTCATTCAATGAGGTACATATTAGAGGGAGAAATAACTTTGTATATCACATTCAGTTTCTATATCTCTTCGACTTATTAGTGTATATCTCTTTAATCCTTTTCCTTCCCTTTTTGTCTACTTCATTCTCTATTACCTCTCTCCTTCTCTCTGTTTCTTGTGAAATTAATATTTGTGTGTATGATGGAAGAGAGAGAGATAGTAATGATTGTGTTTGCTTGTATGCTCAGCTCTTAATAAAGAGGCTCTATAGCTGAACAATGATCATACAGTACATGTACATGTATGCATAATTATGTAAATATAGTACACTACATGTATAGAAGTATTGTTCTCCTTGTGTCTTGATCAATATGATAATCATAGTACCAAGGTGGATGATATCAAGAGTAGATAATTTTATTTGTTGCTATATTTAATATTCTCGGTGTCTATACAGGTTTCATTTGATAACCATATGTACATTCACCGCTGCATATAATTATATGAATGTGTGACTTTAAAAAAATTTATTATAATTATAAAAATACAAGGAAATAGCAGCAAAAACTATGTTATTAATTTTATTTTTATTCAAGAAAACTGCTAATAAAAAATAATGTACATGTATGACTAAATTATAACACTCTTTAAAGTGCACAGCAAAATATCATCTCTAAACTAACTACATGTAGCAATGTTAATGGAGAGAAGGAGAGGAGATAAAAAGGAAGGAACAGAAAGAGATTGAGAGAGAGAATGAACAAGATTGTGTGATGTAGTACTACTATGATACCATTATGGTAGGGAGGATTGGTACACTTGTAAATAATGGTACATGGAATGATTCTCTCATACTGGTAGCAGTAGGAAGTGTTTGCATTTGACAGAATCGCATTAATATTCCTTGCAAAACTTCAGCTTTTTGCTTTGCTCTTAATTGTTGTTCAGTGACTTTTTCAATTATAGCTTTAAGTGAAGAATATGTCTTCCCACCATTACTTTCCAGTAGTTGAGCTATATCATTTAATCCTTTGTCTCTAGCAATATCTAATGGTGTCTTCTCATCTTTACAAATAACATTGACATTAGCACCTTCATTTAATAGATACTGGACAATTGACTTACTACCTGATACTGCACACAACAAAGGAGTGTAATTTAAATAATTATCTTGTTGGTTAACATCAGCTCCATATCTCAGTAGTAATGTTTGCACTACTTCTTCACTGCCACAGGAAGCAGCTATCATAAGAGGAGTTAGACCAGTAGATTCTATCAATGGTGTACACAGGTCACTTGATGCTTGTTTTGTTCTAACTTGAACAAATAGTGTCATATCATCAGACGCACAAGCAGTCAGTATGTCTTTTTGACGATTTGTGATAATTATATTCTCTGCTAATAACTTAATTGAATCCTTGTGTCCTCCATAACAAGCTGCTGTAAATGCTTTCTCTTTTTCTTCTTGATCAGGATTATAATTATTTAAAAGTACATTAATTACTTCAGTACATCCACCATATGCAGCATAACAGAGGGCAGTAGATCCATAATTATCAGTAACTGATGGATCAGCATTATATGTCATTAGTAGAAGTGCAACTGCTTCACTCTGACCATTAGAACTAGCATGCATCAGTGCAGTCCTACCTTTACTGTCGGTGATATTAGGATCAGCTTCCTCTAATAGCAATACCAATACTTCAGTATATCCCTTACCACTGGCAATCATTAATGGAGTAACTTCATGATTATTCTGTGCATTAACATTAATATTCCATGACAGCAGTGTTTGTATGATATCAATTATATTATCTTCACTGCTTTTACACAGTAATGCATGATGTAGTGCATTGTTTCCTTTATTATCACAAATATTAGTATCTGCTCTATTCTCTAGTAGTGTTAGTACAATATCTTTGTGACCACATTCACATGCTAACATTAAGAAAGTTTCTCCAGTTTCTTGTTGATGGTTTGAATCATTAATCTCTTTTAATAGTAACTTAACTACTTCTAAATGCCCTTCAATGCATGCAACAACTAATGATGGGCAAGAGATTTTTAACATTTCTTTTGGTAGAGGTGCTTGTTCTCTAATATTTAGAAGTAGATCTATTGCTTGAAAATATTTGCTTGATGATAAAGGTGCCTTAGGGTCATAACCAGCTTTAAGTAACAAATCAACTGCTTGTACATTACCAATCAGAGATGCTAATATCAAACTGGCAGGATCATCTTCAGGTTGTGGTGTAGCCTCTAGTAGCAGGCGAAGTATCTCAATTGTATCATCGACAGTGTTTTTTGATGCTACTTCAAAAATCTGCTCATTGTTATTCTCATATTTCTCTGCCAAAACTTCTGATGGTGACTGAGACTGCAAAAATTCAAAATCACTTTCCTTCATTAATTTGCTTACACACAATTGAATTATTGACACTTCAATTAATGCACCATCCTCATTTCCCTCAATGCTGATGTAATTAGCACCAGCTGTTAGTAATTCATGTATGATTATTTTATTTCCTGAAATCACTGCACATGCTAAGGCTGTTAGCTCATTTATATCTTTAATATTGCATTTAACATTAGGATCAGCACCAGCTTCCAATAGTAATTGAACCATTTCTAAATTATCTTCATTGGCAGTACATGCTACCATTAGAGGTGTGAAGACATTATCTTGTGTAGCATTGAGATCAACTGGTCCCTGCAGTATTAATTTAACTATTTCAATATGTCCCTGTTGACATGCTATTGTCAATGCATTGCAGTCAACAGTAGGTCTAACAGACTCACCTTTTAATATATCATTCCAAAGTTTACTTGAGGAACAAAAAGCCAATGGATCATATCCAGCTTTTAGTAAGAGTTCAACTGCTGGTGTACAACCTACTTCAGTTGCTGCTATTAAACTGGCAGGATCATCCTCAGGTTGTAATGTAGCTTCTAGTAATAGCTGGAGTATTTTAATGTGTTTTGATTTATCTTGAGCTCTTATTTGTTGTAAAGCCATGACCATAGCAGAGTTTAGGATATCATCTTGCAGTTTACAATTTTGAATTATTTCATTCATTTCATTGACAGGAATGTTTTTCATTGCTATCACCATAGCACAGCATTGAGTTACTGTGCAGTCAATAGTTGTGTTAATGATAGGATTATACATGCTAATATTAGTACTGGCACCAGCTTTTATCAGTTCATCAACTATTTCATAATGTGCAAATGTCACAGCATTTCTTAAAGCAGTTTCTCCTGTCATTGCAGCCTTATTAGGATCAGCACCAGCTTCTAATAATAACTGAACTGTTTGTATGTGACCATGAAGAATAGCCATCATTAGTGCA